CGAATCGTGTTTATTTTTCATCGACTTTGATTTTTTTGTTCGATAGATCAGTGCTTTAAAAAGAATCCAAACATACATACATATTTTTCATTTGTACACTATTGAAAAACCATTAATTTATTTAGATAAAAATTAACATGCTTTGTCATATTTTCCATATAAAATAAAATTTTATCATGTTATTTATGTTTATTCACATTGTAAATAGGTGGCGAAAACCTGGCATTCTACTAGTTGTTTATACCATTTGTTTCAATTTCGACATTAGTCAGAATCCACTATTGCGAAAGTTAACACATCAAGTGGCGACTAGACGGCGCCGAGTATGACGCGTAAACTGTATCTCCCATAGCACCAGGATAGGCTGCATCTAGCGGCCACAATAATTGTACCAACAGTTCCAACTTTTCACTCACGCATTGGCTGATTCTGGTAACAGATGCCATTTTTCAATCTTATGTTTAATCAACTAAATAGTAAGAGACTAAATCTTCCGTCGACGAGGTTTCAAGGCACTTTCATTTTAGTTTAGTTTTCCGGGCATGCGTTCAGCAGCACACCAATACAATTGTGAATCTTCGGAAGCCGTTGAACAAACGACAATTGCCAAGAAGGAAGAATTACAAAGTTATCTCCATTCTGTCGGCACCTCGACGGGATAGCGAACATAAGTTTCCGAACTCTCTTCCGAACAAGACGACGCTTTATTGTGGTCATAAAGGACGTCCTTCCATTCCTACACAGACTGCTGTTGTCTCTGTTCTCTGTTGCTACAGTTCCAACTCCCAACAACTTATTTCCCTGGGCGCGATTTTAATGCTTCGTCGAGCACTATAATTTTTGATTGCACCGACCGTTGCTACCTGTTTGGATATCACCACTGGAAACTTTTTAACAACTTTGCCAGCCTTCAGTCGCCGGATTGTATACTAGAGTACTTCGTTTTGAAAATATCTATTGTTTGAATTCCTCCAAGTACCGTGAAACTTGGAGGTCATCGTTGGGAGGAGACAGAAAATCATATGTGATGGCAGAAGACATGTAAGGTTTTACACATTTTGCCATGATTTTTATAAATAATTCTTAACGCCTTATGTAATAACGTCAGATGAAAGATCAGCAATGGCTCATGTGGTTAAAGTAGGGAAGCCCAATAAGGACGAAGCTGAAAATAATTTTCAATGATCTCTCTTGTCCATTTTTGTTATAAAATGTTATAACCAATAGCTCTGGGTTGACTGGTTGCCGGGGTACAGCCGGTGTTCTTTGTCCACAATATCAGTGATACCTGTGGCATATGGCAAAAACGATATCAATATTTGACGAGCTCGGGTATGTCCGTATAGTTATTGACAACTGCTAAAGCCTTATTTTCTTCAAAACCCAATAGGTTCCTTACGACACCCTAGTAACTATCCAATTAGCCCTTGGGCTCCCCCACAATAGTAGTATACATATCAGTTTGGTCAGTTATATACAGGATGTCCCTGAAGAGTTCGAGTTTGAGTTCGTATAGAGCTGAAAAGGAATCATATTAAACATGTTTTGTATTCAAAAGTTGATCTCGTGGTATCTTGAATTTAGTGGAATTCTTCACTATATAATAAACAGACAAAGCCACCTTCCCCTCATATTTTAAAATGCATCGCACATTATTCAAAACGCGTACATTACCTATCTAAATAAAACGTAAAATATCCTTCACCATACCTTCAAATGAATCCACTTTTCAAATGCCGACTAAAACGGTATAAATATGTTCGATAATCGTATGTGATCTATACGGAAAGTTGATCGTTAGAAAGTTTCTCTCCTGTAATAGTCATTAAACGTATGCCATGACGACTTTTAAAACGTTCTAGCCATCCTTTGCTGGCCACAAAATCGTCTTTTTTTGTTATTTCCTTATAAGAAAACTTAGCTTTCATGGCCAACATGGGTCCTGAAATTGGTGCATGCCTATTTCTTTCCTGAAGAAACCACATGTACAAAGCTTCTTCGACTTCTGAATGTTCAGCTTTCTTGAGTGTCTCCTTCTTGATTTTCTCGTGTTTTTTTTAATGTCATAAATTGTATATCGGCCTACGCCGTATTCAGTTGCTAAACTACTGAAAGTTTCATTGCGATTTAAGCGGTCTAAAATATCACATTTTTCTTTAATTGTCAATGTTTTGTGCTTTCGCTTCCGAGTTTGTGATGACATTACTAGGTACTGTACTTAATACACAATGAATAAATAGTAAACAATGAACGCACGATAGCGGTGGCGTATGTATATAATATATAGGTTTCGGTCAGAAGCCGCGGTGGCCGCAGAAACTCGCACAGCCCGCAAAACTTGGCATTACGGACATGCCGACTGGGAGGGGCTCAGAGACTTCTTCTCTAGCTTTCCTTGGAGAGATGTCTGTTTCACTGACGCGGATGCGTCGACTGTCTGTTCTTCAATAACCGAAATTATTCACGTCGGAATGGAGGAATACATCCCTCACACAGTGAAAGTTCCTAAACCAGGGTCCAACGGCTGGTTCAACAAATCGTGTGACACTGCTCGCCAGCAGAAGATCAAGGCCCACAGAACCTACTTACAAAACCCCACTGTAGAGAACAGACAAGCCGACGTCGAGTCCAGAAACAAATATAACGAAGCGGTTCGCAATGCCAAAACCCAGCATGATATAAAAGTTAGGCACAGGGTAATGTCGCAGCGCAATGGCAGTCGGTCTTTCTGGACGCTGGCCAAGCAGATTGAAAAGAACTTCTCACACAGTAGCCTTCCACCACTTACGTGTCAGGATGGAACTATTGTATTCGACTCAAAGGCCAAGGCGGAAGTGCTAGCCAAGATCTTTGCTGCCAACTCCACCATGGACGTCCCCACCAACGCCCAAGTGCCGTCAATTCAAAGGGTTCCCCACACTATGCGGGAGGTAACATTCAGGCATAAGACCGTAAGACGAGTGCTCTTGTCGCTCGACATCAACAAAGCTTCTGGTCCGGACTTGATTCCTGCCATTGTACTGAAGAGATGTGCAGCTGAACTTGCTCCAGTTCTTTCGCGTCTCTTCCAGATATCTTATGAATCCGGCACCTTCCCAGAAAACTGGAAATTTGCTCATGTACAGCCCATCCCAAAAAAAGGATCTAAAACCGACCCTTACAACTACAGGCCTATAGCTCTGCTTTCTGTTATCAGTAAAGTGATGGAGAGGTGCATAAATCGCGAGCTACTGGACTACCTAGAACGTCACAGCTTGATTAGCGACAGGCAGTACGGTTTCCGGCACCAACGATCCACAGGGGACCTCCTAGCTTACGTCACGCAACTGTGGAGTAAACTCATCCAGTCTCATGGTGAGGCTCATGTCGTTGCTCTTGACATCACGAAAGCGTTCGATCAGCTGTGGCACGCTGCCCTCTTGAGCAAACTTCCATCCTACGGCCTCCCAGAAAAGCTTTGCAGATGGGTGGCTGACTTTATCTCTGGCCGCAAGATATCCGTCGTAATTGACGGATTCTCCTCTTCATCCCACAACGTCAACGCGGGTGTTCCCCAGGGATCGGTCTTGGCTCCAACACTGTTTCTCTTACATATCAACGACCTCCTTTCCTGCACGATCAACCCAATCCACAGCTTCGCTGATGACAGCACTCTACATGCAGGAATTCAGAGTGACAAGCCGATCTCTGCCGCTGAGCTGGAAAAAAGAAGACTAGCGACGACTTCTTCTCTGACAAGAGACCTGGAGGCTATCACTGCTTGGGGACGCAACAATCTTGTACAGTTCAATGCTTCCAAAACACAGTACTGTACTTTGACGAACAAAAAGCGTCCTAGCGCTCATACAGTTTCGATGGACGGTCGAGTTCTACCAAAGAGCCATTCATTTCGGCTGGTCGGAGTCCAGATCACCGAGGACCTGATCTGGCACGAACACATCTCTTCAATAGCTGCAGCTGCTGGGAAAAAGCTAGGCTATTTGTTTAGGGCTAAGAAGTACTTTTCTCCGCATGACCTTCTCACTCTATACAAGGCCCAGATAAGGCCTAGCCTCGAGTATTGCTCACACATTTGGGGTGCTGCCGCCCCGACTACATTGTCCATGCTCGATGCTGTCCAGAGGAGGGCGGTCCGACTGATCGATGACTCTTCTCTAACAGACAGTCTCGGGACTCTTTCGCACCGGCGGGCCGTCGGCGATCTAGCTCTTTTCTATCGCTACACCAACGGGCTTTGCTCCTCAGAGCTCTCTTCCATGATGCCGCCGCGCGATGTGCCTGCCAGACAGACCCGCCTGACTTCGGCGTCCCATCCTAACCGTGTCAAACTTCGTACATCCAGAACTGGCCGATACGACCGCTCCTTTGTCCCGAGGGTGTCTAGATTGTGGAACAAACTGCGGGAGGAAGCTTTTCCCAGTTCTACTAACCTTAGGCAGTTCAAAAATCGTATTAACAAAATTTCTTTGGGATCATCATAGCAGCCGCGGTGTTCCGGCATTTAGGCTTCTGCCTGCGCGGCTGTTTCGATATAAACAAAAAAAAAAAAAATACATACGTACATACTAACTTCAAAACGTTGATCGTTAACTTTTAACCTTTTTCAAGAATTTGCCCAAAATGATCAGAAACATCAAAAACGAAGTTGGGTAGTGACATTGTGTAAAAATTTCATGAAAATCCTAGCGGTACTTCCCAAGTTATAGGCATAAGATTAGCGGACAGCCGACAGACAAACTGATGGAAATGAGTGACATGGTTTTTAGTCATGTGCATGTATATAACATGCACAAAGACGTTATCGAAATTTTTCGCAATTACAGTACTTCCTCACCAATAGGCGTGGGAAATAAAAGGAGAGAAAAGCGTATTCCGTGGTAAGTTGCATATATCTCAATGTGGCCCTATTTCATCGTGAAAAACAAGGCCTTAATGATTTCAAGACACTTCAAGTGCCAGAACAATACAAACTTTATTTGATAAGATGATATAATATTCAGAAAAGAAAGTATAAATTGGGTAATACACTAGTAGTTGGCTATACCTTCAAGCAGTCACAAGTCAAGTTGAAGTACCAGCAACAGGTAATAAGAAAAAATGTAATGATCCAGAAGGTGACGATTAGAGCATTATGTAATTCTCGTTCAGATCCAGATTGTCCCAATAACACAAACTGATGCACCAAACTGTATCACTGAATCCACACACCGACGGTACCTTGACAAACACTACAAATTCGTATCACCATACACGTGGAGTTCTAAAATGTGTTTAGAGAGAAAAAAGCTTTCGAATTCAGCATGTTAGGGTAAGTGGTGGTTTTCGCGTGATATTGGAATGTATATCGGCGAACACTCCCAGGATCGACGGTGGCTGCCGACGGCCGGGAATACATTGGGGGTGGCGATGGTGGAGAATTCGGCCCGGAAAACGGCGAACGGCGGAGCACGTGCGACGGCGTGCGGCAACAGGAATGCGCATGACACCCGCTAGAACGCTGCTACGCCTGGACGTACGCCAAGACACGTTAAAACGGGACACCTACGTTCCGGGATAAATTCGACTTACTATTTGGAACAAGCAGCACAACATATTTCTGATTTTTGCTTTTCTAATGAATGGGCAAGCCACTTCAAGAGGCTTTTAGTTGTAATAACAAACTGATAAAGTTACATCTTGAGCTGCAATTAAAGATATCGTAGGCAAGGGGCTGGACTTCGTAGTATTTATCATCATTAAGTACAAGACCTAGATATACCGGATGTTTCAAATTCGGCCCTCACCATTGGTATCTCGCAAACGGTAAGAGAACGAACTCGCTGAAATGGAAGAAAAGATGCATTTTAAGGTATGTAACAAATTGTCACAGAAAGTTTCGAAATACAAAGTACTTGCGGAGAGGGACAGAAACCAGAATTTTTCCAAAATCGTTATTATTTTTTCCTGGCCTTATCCGTAGCAGAATTTCAAAATAAATTGCACATTAACATTTCCTCTTATTCTCCACTATAAGATGGCATTATTAAAATTTTCATATGGGTTTCATATATACGATTCTTTGATACAATCTAAATGGCCACAAATGGATAAAGTGGAAATTCACACTTGTCAAGATTTTGTACAGAATTTAGAATATTTCAAATTAATCCAGCCTTAAAGTAAGAGTATTATTTTTATAATAATCATTATTAAAAAATAGTTTCAGGAATTATAGCCACAAGATGGGGTAGGAGGGAGCTAAGTATTTCTATGAAAGACCTTATAACTTTTCAAGTTCATGGAAATTTATCTCGAACACAATTTGACCTATAAACAGGACATTATGAGCAGATATATATTTATATACAGGTTGACTTCGAAGTTGAGTCATTTATTTTAACAGTGAGTAGATCTGATCAAAAGAAATGTTTTTTCCTTTACCATTTTTCTGGTAAAATTAAAGTAACAAAGTTATAGCCCTTTGGAAGTTTGAGTACTGCCTTGTCTCAATAATAATATTATGTGCTCGTGTTTGGCAACAACGGATATAATCCGCCTTATCGGTTCATCGCATCGGAAACAAAAAACCGAAAGAATTTGGAACGATGTTTTTACAATTATTTTATTCAGTTGTATACAGTCAGTGTCAGTCGGTAACGCGTGAGTGAATAGTGGTGTCTGTTGCGTGCCTTAAACGAAATAAAAAATGGCACATGTTTATGCGGATCGGTTTCCCAATCGAGTACAACCAACCCCTCGTGCCTTTGTTAATGTAGTACAACGGGCTCGTGAATCAGGTGACTTATGACCTCACAGGGGACGGCATGCCGGTGCTCCAAGACCTCACGATCAAATACAGGTCCGCACTGAAATACTTGTCGGGAGGATACTTTATAAAACAAGGTAAATTTTTTTTTTATTTTTACACACATATTTTGGTTTCTCATCTTCCTTCTACAATCATTATCTGAAAATTAATGACTCAACTTCAAAGTCACCCTGTATAAATAGAGAATGTCCCTCATTAGTCACGAAGTCTCGTAAACTATTTAACCTATGAACATTACTCAGGGAGGTACTCTACCCACAAAACAGATGTGATACACATTAATCATGAAATCTACAAAGCTGTTGACTTATGAACATGAAATTTGGTAGGAGGTAGCTTATGGATAGAACATTGCAGCTAAGAACGGAACTTGGCAATGATGCAGTTCTGTTTAGAGTAGACCTAAACTTAGAATGGATTGTGTAACTGAAAATTAGGCAGAGAGGTATCTTTTACAACTTAAAATTTAGTTTAATAATTACTTAATAATTGGATATTTGAAAAAATTATATACAGGGTGGCGCATCGAAAACGAAACAGACGCATTTACTGGTAGCTCAGTTTTTTTTTTGGAAAAACGCTCAGACCCGTCGATTTTTTTTTCGAGGGGGACACAAGTTTGGTAAAAAATTACGTTAACACGTGCAGCCCCCTGGGCGGGGGTGACACCACGCCCAAAATCTTAAATGGAAAGGGGGGTCGAGTGATACCTTATTTTAAAGGTCTTTCAATTCCGTTTATAATGATATAAAATTAATTTTATTCAGTTCAGTAGTTTTGAAGATTTATTGATTGAAAGCTTAAATAAAACTAATACATCATCATTAGTGGAGATCAATACATTTGGCGGCAAAGTAATTTAAAAATGAAGAATGAACTGACCCGTCAGGCAAGTAAAAGTTGAAAATGGCCACCATGACCCTCCATGCAATAATACAGATTTCGTTCAAAACCTTGCCGCACATTTTGCAATATTTAAGGAGTAAATTTGAAGGCACTCATTCACAATTCTTTGACGCAGGTCTTCTAATGATGTTGGCTGAGTAGCATAGATCTTGCTTTTTAAATGACCCCACATAAAGAAATCCAAAGGTGATAAATCTGGCGATCTTGGGGGCCATTCAATGGCACCTCTTCTACCAATCCATCGATCTGGCATCGTCTGATCTAAGTATTGTCGAACACGTAATGCGTAGTGTGGTGGGGCACCATCCTGTTGGAACATCAACCTATTCGCAATGTACCGCCGATCATTCTGATTTTCAATTATGGCTGTTAATGCAGGATTTATGGCGTCTTCGAGTAATACCAAATACATTTCAACGGTTAAATTTCCAGGTAAGAAAAAAGGACGAACTAAATGATCGCCAAAAATACCAGCCCAAACATTTAATTTTTGTGGCTGCTGTGTATGAACCTCATGATAAATTCTGGGATTAGAATCGGGCCAATATCGGCAGTTATGACGATTTACTACGCCATTTAAGAAAAAGGAACATTCGTCGGAAAAGCAAGTGTGGAATAGAAAATGTTCATCGTTTATAATTGGTTCGCTCATATCTTCACAAAATTGTAATCGCCGATCAAAATCGTCTTCATTAAGTTCTTGTACCAGGTGAATTTTATACGGATGAAAACTATGGGCCTTTAGAATCCGTTGGACAGTACTTCGACTAACACCACACACAGTCTCTCTTAAAAGGCCCACTTCTATTACTTCGTTCCTTATGGGATTTTCAATGTTGTGTTTTTTATTGGCGACTGACCCAGTTTCGGGCCTGATGAAGCCAACCAGCAGAAATACGTATCGCTCGGGTTACCTATCCTTCCTCCAGTTTATCGTTAATAAGACGAAACATGGTAAGTGTAATTTGAGTATGCAAGAAATGCATCATAAAACATCAGCGCTGCATCCGCTGGTTGTGCCGCAACGCGCTTATTTTCTCTTAGCTAATACATCAGCGTCATTTCAAATAGACAGAGCCTCGTGAAATGAACATCGAGCTGCACACCAGGCCTCTTGCTAGTGGATTTGCCTCTTGCGTGCAGTGTAGGTTATTTTCATTTGCAATGTTCCATTAGTTACTCATTCGCAAAGAAGATAACAATATAAATCTGTAGACTGAAAACGAGAAAGTTCAAATTTGCCTGTGAAACGTACAAAACCCGATGAGTAGGTAGCAATATTTAATTATTATTTTTTTTTCAGTAAATTTCTACAATAATACAAGCCCACAAAATAAAAAAGTAGCATGTGCATGGGATCCCATTATTTTTAACTCGTATACTTTTTCACACTAAACGCGAATCTATATATGTTGGGGGCTGATGGACAAATGCACACACATTTTGGCGTTTTTCTCATGAACATCCAATGAGCTGCAAATCCATCAAAAGTATTAATTCTGATGTCTAAATTACTTTTATATTGCTGCATCTTCTCTAATTTTTTACTTAAAATTCGTGTTGTGATGGAAAAAGCTTGCTGATACCCCTACCACACTACACTTTTTATTTTTGCAGACCTGTGCTTCGTTAATATACGTTCTCTGACCACCGACCGACCGACTCTCATGTCCATTTCGAATTCGTCTCCTGCGTACAAAAATACATTGAAATAACACAGTGGAAGTCCAACCACGCAGAATACTTTTTTATTTCGTGAGTATATGCAATCTTTTGACTGTTTGGAAGCAACTGTTACCATCTAGATAACTTCCTGGAAGCTCGCGAAAATGCTGGAATGCTTCTCGACTTGTCGATAGGAGAATAAATACCCGACCAGATAACGAAAACAATCAGACGCATTCGACAGCGGATTATAAGTCACCAAGAGCGCGGGACGTGGTTGTGAAGTCGGCATAGTTATTGATATGTCATAAATTAGTTGCACGTGTTATGAATTACTGGGGAGTAATAAATTAGACTTTAAACAGTAAAGGCGATGTTTTCGTTACATACCTATTAGAAATATTTTCTCTTAAGACGGAATGATACACCTATTTCCAAAAATCGAGTCGAACGCAACGAAGATAGAAGAAATATATTCGACGCAATGTTGCAATGTTCATATAACGACAAGCAGGAGTAAGTTGCCGACGGATTCATATCCTCTGTTACTCTGACAAAAAGTCACATACATGCAAGCCGTTTATTGCCAAGTCTACAACGACCACGAGACGAATATTAAAAACGGTTACACAGTAAAAAGAATAATGCGACTAATAAAAAAATGTCACCGACCGATATGAGACATTTAATATCATCGTATAGAAC